GTGGGGTGGAGGGGAGGCTTCATGGAGGAAATGACATTTTACAGACACTTGGAGTTCCCCTGGAGGAGGAGGAGGAGGAGGAGTTGGGTACTAAATAATATATAAGATTTGCCATCCAGTGTGGCTAGAAGCATAGTGTCCACTAGAGAGCACAGATTGAGATGACCAGCAGCCATAAGTGGAATACACGGGCACTAGATCCACCTCTTAAAAGAGACATCACTATACTATCTATAGCCAATCAGCCAAACCCCACCCCCTTGTCCTGTTTTTATAAAGTTTTATTTATGCAGTTTTATTTAAAGTCAAATAAAGTTAAACAAATGTTTTGTTCAAATATTTGTTTAAATACTGTTGGTTGTTTGTTTAAATATTTTCTATGACTGTTTGTTTGTTTAAATATTTTCTATGCCTGCTTTGGTGTTATGAATGGCAGGGATCACATCGCCCACAAAGCCAAAAATGTTTTCTAAAATTTCAAACATTTTTAAAAAGTCTAGTCTTAAAAAAAAAAAAAAAAGTTTCCTAGCCAGGTGCAGTGGTGCATGTCAATAATCCCAGTGGCTTAGGAGTCCGAGGCAAAAGGATTGCAAGTTTGAGGCTAGCCTCAGCAATTTAGCAAGGCTCTAAGCAACTTAGTGGGAAATTGTCTCAAAATAAAAAAAATAAAAAGGACCGGAGGTAGCTCAGTGGGAAAGTGCCCCTGGGTTAAATCCCCAGTACCAAAAAAAATTGCTGACTCCTTCCTTAAGGATCCAAAGGATTCATTTGAATTTCTGTAACTGCATAGGATGGAGCTTTCTAGGGCCTTATTCCTATAGTCTCCAAATGCATCATCTTAAACCTCCTTCCACATCATGGACAATTAGCCGTCCATCTGTATCCTAAGCTGGATACCTGGACATCTCTTTCGCAATCCCAAATGTTATAGCATCATATATCATTTCTGTTTTTTTTTTTTTTTAATTCTTGTTTTGACTCAGGGTTGTGGCGTTGTTACAAGCCTCCTGCCCCACCAGGAGAAGCTCATCACTAGACATGGGCTCATTTTGCTTCCTTTGCCTCCTTCTCCAATTCTTCATAAATTTTTGCACCACTTTTAGAATGCTGCTAAAAATTGATTTTTTTTTCCTCTTGCCATTACCACTCTCTGATTCCACACTCTGACAGACAACTATTCCTCTGCAAGAAAAAAATTTTTTAAAAAAGGCTTCCCTGGCTCTATAAAGCCCTTGGAAAATATAAGTTAAATCCACCAGCATTTACAAACCAGGAAAATGTAGAAATAATCCTAGCTTTCTAATAGGCCATGTTAAAGGATTTCTTTTACTAGTAAATCCCCTTACACATTTAAAATCAAATTTGATCTATAAGAATTAAATTTGCACATGATTTTCTAGGGAATACATCTCTAATATAAAACAAGGAGTGTGGTTATTGTTTTATTAACCACTGGCAATAAAATAGAGTAGAAAAAGTAATTCAGAGTTTTAAAAGCTGCTTTTTATGGCTTGTAGTATATGTTTCGGTTTGAATACAGACTTTATCATCAAACTGCCTTGATCTAAACCCCAGCACTGCCCCTTACTAACTGTGTTATCTTGAATAAGGTAATTAACCTCTCTGTGTCTCAGCTTCTACAACTGCCAAAAGGGAAAGAGGAAGAATTATAAATAAACTATCTCCTAGGACTGCCATCAGGATGGATGGGATGCAGCATTAAAGGTGTTTAGTGCCGTACCTGGGACTTAGAGAACACTCTTTGTGGTTAGTTATGACCATACCTCATGCATGCTCGGCAAGTGCTGTACCATCTAGCCACACTTCCTGTCCTTCTGACCCCTCAATGAGGAACAGTTCTGCATACTCTGGCCCTTATGATTTAGGTGGAATCAATCTTAACTCTAGGCTTGGGGGGCTGACTCATGATCCACACCTAGCTAATGACAATGGACAAAGCAATGCACCCATAGCTGGGTATATGATCCAAGTAAGACCAGTGAGGATGCATCTCTAGGCTTTGAGGGATGCTCAGGACCTAAGAGCCTTTCCCTTTGCCAGATAGATGACCACCCGGGCACTGCTGGTATCCACCATAGCCAGCCACAGGGAAGATCTTCCAGAGAAGGATGCCTACATGCCACAAAACATCTGTGAGGGTTGAAAAGAGAAAATGCCCTGGAAACCAACATGTATCCTTGTATCCAGATGCATTCCTCTGGACTTTTCAGTTACATGTGCTGATTTTTTTTTCCAGTTTAAGCCAGTTTAAGCTGGGTTTTCTTTCACTTTCATCCAAGGGGTTCTGATACATACTCATGTATTGGCATGTCCTAGGGCAAGAAGAGACAGTGAATCTTGCTAATTCTTCTGTGGCAGAAAAAGGGTGAGGAGAGGGGGCAGACTTGAATTGTGGACTTGGTTCTGTCTTTAGCCAGAGATTGCTGGGAAAACAGGTTCACCTTTCTGGGTCCCGCTGTACTTGTATGTCAGATAAGAGGAGAGTGAAAACCAATCTCCAAGCTCCCTTTTCACTTCTCACATTCTGTAAGGATCTATTAATCTTGGGTTCATTGCAGTGGTGTATACTGTGGTATAATTGGTTACCGATTCTCATATTTGCCTGCTTCCCTCTGTTTCAACTTTAAAAATATTCTATTAGACTCTCAATTCCTATGCGCCAAGTGTTTATTTCCCCTTCAATTTCCTTCCAAGAAAAAAAAAAAACATATTTATTTTTGTGTACTTGGACATAATGATCCCATTTTCTTCCCATTTCTATATTTTTAAATCTAATTAAGGTGATAAGTTCCTTGAGAGTTGAAGCTAGAGTTTTCCTGTGGGTGTAAACATTATTTTTTTTTAATTGCCAACCAAGCTGCCAGTTTTTACAGAGCAGCAGGATATGGGTTTTAAGTAATGTAAGCAGGAAATGGGTCTCCGGCCCACACCAAATAAATGCAAAAGGACTGATTTTCCCTGAATTCACATCTGGCTTACTCATTTATAATTTCAGTTGGAACTGAAATTCTCCCACAGAAAGGCAGTGTCGACATCCACGGGTACGGAACGTCAGACCAAAAGTGGAGCATGAGGTGGCCATCCTGTGAGGTCCACACCTAGAAATAATCTGGCTATTTCAGGTCATGCTTTTCTCTCTCGTGTTAGAATGTGGGCCCAGAGATAATTGAATATTAGCTTCAAATCTCCCATTCATTGATTTCAAATAATTCAATAGCTCTTAAGTTTGAAGAGGTCAAAGGAAACTGGATGAAAACTTGCAGGAAAACTGTCCTGCAGGGAACAGTCCACGCTGCATGCTTCCTTGACTAATGACCTAGCCTATTCTTGCTCCTGGGGAATCTAAAAATGACCAGGAGCCCATCTCCAAAGGCCTTAATGGGTACTTCCAGGTAAATAGAACCAAATGGCCTGGAGTCAGTGTTTCACCCCGCCCAATGGTTGAGCCATTCGAGGATGCTATTAAGGGCTTAATATCTTTCTTTCCATTTTCCTATTCACAGCTGCTCTGTCCTTGGGTGGACTTCTCCTGGAGTGGGAGCAGAGCTAACGGGCACTGGTACCTATGCGCGTTCCTGTTCTGATGTAACTGGAGAGGAGGGTGCTTCCATCCCAATATTCTGAGCATGAGTGTGGAATTGCCTTCTCCTGGACTGGCTTTGGTTTCTCATTCACACAAGGCACTGACAATTGTGGCCAGATCAGAGAAGAGGCTGGAACTGCCTTGAGACAACAGAGTTAATCTCACCCAACCCTAAAGTGTAGAAACCCAATAAATCTGAGTGCAGTTAGGAAAGATGGCTGCAAGAAACATCTGCTACCAAAAAAAACATCCATTGCAATCCCTGAGTCGCAGCTCCTAGCAGAAGGCCAGTCTTAGCTTAACACCCTCAGAACAATACTGCTTGGTACAGAACAATACTGCTTTCCCTCTTTGGTCAGTCTTCTCCCCAGGATCCCATTTCCCAGGTTCCAAATCAAGGAACCCTTGATTCATTACATGGTTCTTCTAAACCCACTGTAGGATCAGAGTCTTCGGGGTGCCTGGCTTTTCATCCCACACTCTGATCGGATGCTAGCACACCTCAGGCAACTCCAAAGTCCCCTGCACAGCACCCAGTCCAGAGATTCACACACACAGTGGACCTTCACAAATTGCCAGGTGATGGAAGGAATCAGAAAGTGCTTCTTCCCCTGCCACCCGTCCCTATGACTTCCTTAGCCTCGTCAAGTTATTCACCTTTCCCTTTCTTATTTCCTAGATTTGAAAGCATCAAAAGGAGAATGCAAATAATGAAAAATTTGTGTAGCCTATATATTCTTGTCCATGTTAAAGCGTGTATATTTCAAGCCCCCATTATGAGATGATTATGGACCCACCACCAACATTTACTTTATTAAAATGTTCTCTTGCATCAATACAATGTATTATCGCTCGAAAGAGGTGACTTGGAAGAAAGAAGCTAAAATCAAGTTGGGGGAAAATGTCAGTGCCCCAAATTTCAAAATGTTTCTTGTGAAATGAAAGTGATACGATCCTTCCCAAAGTAGGGCAAATTAGTACTTCTGCTAATATTCATGCTTTTTGCTTCATTTTTATCCTTGCTGGTACAAAGATCCTTATTCCCACTGTCAAGATGAGGAAATGGAGTCACCAAGTGGCTTGTCGTGTGTGTGGGTTACTCACAGCTCTGCAATGTATAGAGTCAGTAACTGTTCTGAATACAAATCTGCCTTCCACAGCACCTGACTCCTGCCTTCCACCAACTGCCACTCAAGTTTTATCGGAAAATCTCCATAGTTATTCCACTTTCAGGCCACCTCTGTTTATATCTACCCTTGGCCATGTATCATTAGTGTCATGTCTGAATTTTACATACTGTCGCCCTTCATGATTTGACTTTGGAAGCTGAGCAAATATATTTATAGATAAGGCAAACAGGGGGAAAAAAAAAACTTTTTTTTGAGATTCCACTTACATTCTTTGGACATTCCCACTTCAAAGCACTTCTGGAGTCGACAGTACTGGCATCGATTCCTGGTGACTTTATTAATAACACAGTTCTTATCTCGGTGACAAGTGTAAATCATGTTCTTCTGAATACTTCTGCGGAAAAAGCCCTGTAAGCCAGAAGAGGATGAGAAACTAAGTGAAACAGCTCAGTTTCATGAGAAATCAGACCCAACCTTACCATTGCATTCACTGCTTTTTTCTTTGAGTAATGTAGTGAGGGCAGCAGAAAAGTTAACTTATTAAAACCTGAAAACTCTTGTGAAATATTAATAGCTCTCCCTTTGTTGTAAACCCAAAAGCCCCTTTTAATCAAAACTAGACAAGACTGTTATTATCTTGCTAAAAGAAAATGAATACCAAGCTGATTCATTTGGAAAACATCATGCAGAGTTGGGATCCCTCCAAACTGCCTGAGCTTAACTAGCTCCCTTGCTGAACAGAACAACTTCAGGTGAACCTGCTACCAATACACCCAATATACGAGGCATTGCATCTGCAAAAGAAATTATTTGCATCTTGCAAGAATCAGATCTTTTCAAGGAGTCTTCTCCAAGTTCTTTCATATATTTAGCTTCTATCATAACATTTAAAATATGATTTAATCTAGGGAGTGTTTAGAAAAAAAATCATCCAAAATTGAAAACAGAGCATAAAAATGAATGTCTGCCTATTTAATGGCACATTGGAGGTGTGCCATCCAATTTGGTAGCCATTAGCCACATGTGGCTATTTAAATCAAAATTATGAAATGAATATTAAACAAAAAATTTAGGTCCTCAGTTGTCCTAGCGACATTTCAAATGTTCAACAGGCACACATGGCTGACGGCTGCTGCACTGAACCACACACAAAATAATTCCATCACTGCAGAAAGTTCTACTGGGCAGCACTCACTGTACAGCAGCACTAACTGACAGCAGCACTGAATGATCTTTGGAAATAAAACTTTGTTTGACATACTTTTTACTACTGAGTGAATCCAGATTCTAATTGTTTAAAATATTATTTATTGATTTAGGTGGTACTGGGGATTGAACCCAGGGCATGCTAGGTGAGTGTTCTGTCATGAAACTATACCTCCAGCCTTGACCTAGACTCTATAAAAATTGCAGAGGACTGGCATTTTACAAAAATTTTTGTCTAGTGTAAGTACAAAGGATTTCTGCCCAGATGAAAAATAACATTTGCACCTAACTTTGCGTTCTCTCTCTCTCTCTGTCTCTGATATATATATCAGTTGTAGTTAGATACAATATCTTTAATTAACTAATTTTATTTTTATGTGATGCTGAGGATCGAACCCAGGGCCTCGCCCGTGGTAGGCAAGTGCTCTACCGCTGAGCCACAACCCCAGCCCCCAAACTTTGCATTCTTTGTTTGTACCACACCTATCTACTTACCTGACTACCCAGGTATTTTTCTCCTACCATCCTATGAACTAGCCTTCACATCTACTATTTCCCTCATCAAGGAGTTAGATACATTTTTGACATGTGCTTACTGAATACTTTTGGTTTTTATTTTTTAACTTTTGAAAATTATATTTTGACAAAAGAAAAGATTTATCCTGAGTTCTGTGAAGCATTGACGGATTAATGCAGACTTGAGAATCTACTAGCAAGGGTTCTTAATGTTCTCTTTCTCTCCCCCATTCTAGCATATTGCTTGGCAGATGATGGATAATCAAGTGATGCTTATTGAAATCACAATGAATAAATAATGAGTGGTGAAGGGCATATCTGCTATCTGCTATCTTCTCCCTCTCCTCTCCTCCCCTCCCCTCCCCTCCCCTCCCCTTCTCTTCTCTTCTCTTCTCTCTCTCTCTCTCTCTCTCTCTCTCTCTCTCTCTCTCTCTCTCTCTCTCTCTCTCTCTCTCTCTCTCTCTCTCTCTCTCTCTGTTACTGGGGATTAAACCCAGGGGAACTTTACCACTGAGCCACATCTCCAGCCCTTTTTATTTTTTTATCTTGAGACAGGGTCTTACTAAGTTGCTTAGGTCCTCTCTAAGTTGCTGAGGCTGGCCTCAAACTTGTGATCCTTATACCTCAGCCTCCCAAGCCATTGGGATTACGATCGTGTACCACTGCCCCCTCCCATCTGTTTTCTCTGTTTTAATCACCCAACAGAAGCCTCTCTGTTGCTCTATGTATTAAAAGCCAGGATTTCACTTTATCAGTTGTGACATGACTATACCTATGCAAGAAATAATTCTTCTGAATGGAAAAAAACACACCAGTGGATGTACTGAGTAGAAAGTAAGCCTTTAAGCACATTAACAAGGAGAGCTCATGGAACACACGTTGTGTAGGATATTTCCGTGGGCACCCTCGGATTCTAGTGTCTAAATACACATATTTTTACTGGCATGGTTCAATTGCAACTGCCTGGAAGCCTGGTTTAAGATTGTCCCCCTATCCTCCCCCCCTACACAGACATTTTCCAAGAAAACACAGTTTATTTTTATATCTCTGGAGCTACAAATAGGCTCAGAATCTAAAATACCAGGTTACAAGTATTCTACAAGCCTGATGGAATCTCTGTGGAGTGGTCACCTCAAAACCTGCCTTCCCCTGCAAGAAATACCCACAGGACCGCTTTTGGCTTCCAGATGCACAAACTCAATTTACAGAAACTTCCATTCCTCCTCTGCCAAGAAGCAGGGCCAGGAGGAGAGATCTGGCCTTTTTCTGTACATGTGGAAAAGGTGTGGCAGAGCAAAGGTGACCTTCCCTGTTTATTAAAAACCTAATATTCAGTTCAGCAAATTCTTCATGAGTGACCAGGGAGCAGAGAAAAACAATGTCATGATGCTCAAGTGAAAAAAAGAAGAGAAGGAGAGAGAATTAAAGAACTTTATATGTCACTAATTAGCCAGCCCGTGTGGCTCAGTAACAATGACGACAGAAACTGAATAGGACTTCTTGGTTTTCCAAATCAGATATTTGGCAGGATTTCAGGAGAAGGTCTACGTTTCAGTAAATCATTTCCACCGTGGTAGAATTCTTGCTGACTAAAATGTAAGTGGTAAGGTATTTTTATACACAGTTTGGGTAAACAGAAATGTCCTCTGAGTCTCAAAGAAGTTTGCATCCAACAAAGCCTTCTCCTCTTGCAAAGTATAAAATAAACTTTCCTCCCCGGGAGAACACTGCTTAGAGGATCTAGTGATGATGGGCGATAGGGCACATTCCCATTATTTAATATTTTCTGTTAATATTTAATATTTTTATGTCAGCTGATACCTCCCTTTTCTTTTAACATGACTAAAAATGGAAAATTTTCATCTCTGACTTAATTGGAAAACCAGCACCAAGTGTCCACATGAGAAGGTACTCATAAAATAAATAAAACAAAGTCAAATAATACAATATTCAGATGTTATTTCACTCTCACTGGATACTGGATCTACTGAAGGGCCAGGAGCCCTGGGCCCTCCTCACTCCTTGCTGAAATGGGAGCTGAGCAGGTGTTAGAGACATATCAGGCTGACATGAGACTTTCTCTTTGAGGAATTCTGAGAATAAATAAAGTTTCTCACTGTGGGATTCATTGTGATTGAAAGTCATGGATCTGTCCAATCGACAATTAGGAGCCTCAAGAAATAAAATAATAAAATGAGGGGTGTCATAGGTTGGGAAACAAAACTGTGATCCGAAATTTGTCAAATGTAAAAATGGGCTTCCGAAGTACAAACTACATTCAAATGTGACCTTTCAGTAGAGAAAGAGCCCTGGAATTGTGGGGTTGAACCCCTGGGCAGCAGCCTTCTCATTACCACTGTGAGGACTTTACTGAGTCCCAACTCCAGGGGCGAAGGTTTCTCATCTCCTAAATGATAGGCTGGGCAATTTATTTTCAAAATCCTTTCCAGCTATAAATTTCTGAACCCCAAGTGTGTCACCACAACAGTGAGCTTGGGAGTGAAATCAAAGGAGCTTCTATGGGAAAAGAAAATGGCCAAGGAAGAACTGGTGGGAGAAGACTAAGGAAAAGAGACCTTCTACTTGCAAGGCAAGAATACTTAAAAATTTTAAGACCAATCCAGACCTGAAAGGAGCCCAACATGAGGGCTTTGCATTTATCTTAGAGCTGAGTCATCAGGAAGTACTTCAGGCAGATATCTGTGACTGGGTTGACATTGAACACTTCCATAATGTCCCAATGGCTTCTAGTGAGAAGCCTGGGGATCTTGTTTTCTGAAACTAGTCTAGGGCTGCTGACACCATGTCATTACTCCTTAATTTTTCTTGAACCTAGAAACCTTCTGTAAGGTACCCCCATGTCAAGGAAGCCACCCCTAGTGGATTTAAAGATACCAAATACTCCCTCTTTCAGGTATCTTTGGTATTTTGCTTTTCCTTCTATTTTACACTATTCAAATGTGATACTTAAGTATTAGCCAGTAACGGTGGCGCACACCTGTAATCCCAGCGGCTCAGGAGGCTGAGGGAGGAGGATCATGAGTTCAGAGCCAGTCTCAGCAAAAAGTGAGGCCTAAGCAATTCAATGAGACCCTGTCCCTACATAAAATGCAAAATAGGGCTAGGGATGTGGCTCATTGGTCGAGTGCCCCTGAGTTCAATCCCCAGTATCCCCCCCAAAATAAATAAAAATAAAGTATTAAATAGTAATTCTACTGGGCTGGGGTTGTGGCTCAGCGGTAGAATGCTTGCATAGCACATGCGAGACCCTGGGTTTGATCCTCAGCTCCACGTAAAAGTAAATAAATAAAATAAAGGTATTGTGTCCAACAACAACTAAAAAATATTTTTAAAAAAATAGTAACTCTACTGTAGAGGTTACATGGGTGACATCAGGGAACTCCAGTCTGCAGTCAGTGGTCACAGCCTTTGGGAGCTCAGGTACTATGCTTTTCTGGTTAGGGTGCACGGTGCCACCATCAAGGGAGCTGGCTTCCCTGCTGTTATCCATGTCTCTCTGCCAGGGGAGAAGGATGGGCAGGGAGGCCAGCTCCCACAAACTATAGCAGACAAGTTGGTGGCCCCAGGCAGTATCTAGGATGGCTTCCCCAAAATGAAGACAATGGATATGGGTGGGGTAAGGGGAAGACACAGGCAATAGTTGCCCAACAACTGGTGGAAAGTGT